AGAAGCTCATCGCAAACGGAGCCGTTGATGGACACCTCGGCTTTGACGTTTATATACCAATGTTGTCCCATTTGGTTTCACGTAAATTGTTCTCGAGAATTCGCACACATGTATATATCGTGCAGAATTGTTGAAACTCTCGGAGAACGATTCTGGAACACGCATGACATTGAGAGCTGCGCATGATTGTCCTCGGTTGTATTTTCTTCCGTCTTCTCCTTTGTCAGATCGATGGACAGCTAATGACTAAACGAGTCTCGTATGTAACCGGTTAAAATTTCGCGACGGGGAGGAGATACCATTCGCGCGATGCAAATTTCGTCTCTCGGTTTACAGTAATTTGCTTATAGGAGTAGAAAGGGGGAGGGGGCGACAGTTGGCGTAGTGTCAAGCGCTTATTATTAATACGCAGAGCCGTTTGCCTGCCAAAATGCACAACATGTCCGTGTACTCTTTTTTCCCCGTGGCCGCGGTAGCTCGAAAGGGAAAACCGTGCCGCCTCGAGGGGACGAGACCAGGATGCTATCGGGAGCACCTGTCGCCTCTAAATCTTCCTACTTAAGACTGCTAAGTGTCACGGTCATTTCTCACCCTTTCGTCTTCAGCATTGCACTTAATTGGCTAGCGCGTGCTTGCGTGTTTCCCCACCTCGGATGCGCCGCCGCCGTCGCGCGTGTCTACTCCGAATTAGTCTCGGCTTAAATCCATGTACTACTGCTATCCCGATCTGTTCGATCTAATTAAATCAAATGGAATTTTAAATAGATTGATACCTTTACGCGGACGAGGTCACGTACGGGGAACGTCGGACGGATATCATACCGCGGAGGACCGAAAAACCGCGCGCGAGGCTTGGTCAGATTAAGAGATGAACGACTGTAATGAGCGGCAGCGGTACGGCAACGGTTTTACGAGAAACGGTCGCGGGACTAACAAACGATAGTAAAAACTCTGACAGGCGGACGACGGAAACACCTGTCAGGTCTAAATTCACGCCGTTTAAATAACGCAAAACCCGTCGCCATCGCGGCCCCCGATGGAAGCCAGACACACTCCCGTGTGATTCGTTCATCGGCACTTAATTGGTTAGCGTGCGCTGACAACTAAGGCCGTTACTTCGTTCCCCGATTCTGGAATAGTCTCGTTGATACAGACTCATAATTCTTAACCAGAAGAAACTTTCGTCGGTTCCCAGTGAGAGTAAAAACATCGAGGAGTTTCAGTATCGTCGAGAAGAAATATCGTTTTCAGTCCGCCGGAATGAGCGCGAATAAAATGACGCCATGAATACGTTCGCTGCCGAAAGCGGATCTCCTTTAATAAGCAATATTCTTTACGACGTAATTAACACAGCGATACGATATAATAAGGTCACGGTTCATGTTTGACCAGTTGATTCCAAGTCCCGAATCTCTTATTCATTGATACCGCCGACGGAATCGTTGCCAACCGCCTTCGGTCGGCTAAACTATAAAGTCGTCACAGTAGATAACTTAGTCATCGCTGAATATATTGAAGTCGAGGACACCACCGTATGAGTAGAGGTACGAAGAGGTATAATCAGTTGGCCAACACGTCTCAATACTTATACGCAACCGGATTAGATCGAGATACGTAGTAATCTCGGCTATCCTGAAATCAGAGTCGCAAATTACTTGATGGGACCGTGTGCGTATGTGTGTGTGACCATCGGAGTAGGATCACTCTGAATTAGCAAGGCTCTGGCTATTCCGAGCGTCACAATCGGTTAGCGAGGACAACCAGCCGGATCCAAGATGGACGGAAAGAGCGTAATACGCAAGGCGGAGACGGCCAAATGTACATAATTTAATAAGGAACGTAGTTTATGAGGCGGCGCGGGAGCCGAGAGCTCACACTCGTGGGTTTCAGAGCAGTTACAGCCGAGATTTAACAGCTACGACGTTGCCTGCTCTCTTCTCGTCTTGTGTGCCTTCACCCTGTTCCTCCTCTTCTTCCACCTTCTTCTTTCTTGGTGTTTCGCGGTTCGCCTGTCCGCTGCACGGTCCATGAAGAACAGCGTAAGCCGGCCGGCTTAATGTTGTTTTAATTAAGTAGGCGGTTAGCCGAAAAGAACTCGGTACTTTCGGCCCCCGGCATAGCCTTTTCCCTCCCTGTGTGCGCGCCTCCTCGCTCTTTCTCCCTCTATTTCGAGAGGTGCGGCAGAAGCTAGACCCCGCATGTGTTCCTCGTATGTTCAGACGTGATGGACGATTTCGCTTGACTAATCGCCGTCTTTTTAACCATCGTCCTCCTCCTCCCTCCCACCCTCCGCGACTGCTTCTACGCCTCCTCGTCCCCGTTTGCGGTTTTAGCGTCGCCGAGGGAAGAAACGGAGGAAGTCGCCCGATGCCTTATCTCGGGACTCAAAACGGTGGAGAATTAACGAACGAAGCATCGTGATTTCATCGTGTTCGAATTTAGACCTCTTGACGATTAAACTGCGATATGCTAGAATCTTGATGGGAAATAAAGATGATCGAAGTGCCATTTCAGAGCAAACGGAGTTGCATTTCCCACGATACGTCCACGGCCCCATTGGTGTTAATCTCTTCATGCATGATAATGGGTAAGTAAAGACCGCGAAAAAACTAATTTCGCGTGCAGTCGTATATCGATGGATACGTAACAATCGCCTAACTTTATCTACTGGTTCACCGTGGACGTGGTAGGTATGTCGTTCGCGTTGTAAGTCGATTAAAGTTAATTCTTTGCTTTGACGACCGATACCGTGAGACCAGGCCTCTGTGAGAGATCGCTACTTTGATTAATATCGATTAACAGACGGTTCGAGCCTAAACGAGTCAATCAACGGCAGGGACCGAGTAATTACTCGAAGCGGAGTGAAATTCACGACTGGGCTTTATCCTAGCCATCGAAGACGTTGGCATGGGTCCCGGTACAATCAGCCTCAAGTCTTCATTACTCCTGTTCAGTGTTTCGATAACGATGCTACCTAATTTCACGGTTCGTCGGAGCGGCTCCATTTAGTGTGCCCGCGGATGTCCATTGGCGCCTTTCGGGCCCCCGTTTCCATGAATTAATCAAAAATGAAAGGATCACGCGTGAATAATGCCCGTGTAACGCGACTGGTGACTTTGTTTTATCTTTTAGGGCCGGTGGGAACTTGACGGGATATTTTGGGAGTCCGTCAAAGATTTGAATAGATCCGAAAAACGACTTCAACAAGCTAACTGGCGTTAGATATAAGAGCTTCGATTGTCGACAAATTGATCTTGATTCGAACATAATGAACGATAAAGTCTCATTGGGTCTGTACTGAATTACAGATTCGAATGACGTTCAAATTCTTCCTACTTGATTCGCCGTATGTCCGAAGACACGCAATCATCAGAAATTACAAATTAGCGCGTAATGAAGCGAGAAATAACGCTGTTGCGAGCCTGTCGTGCCGGACACATTCTATTTACGTGTCCACTGTAAAAACTTCCGTGATTAATGTTACAGGGAAAACTACAGTTAGGAGGTTGCCGTGGTTCATGAAGTGATAGCTAGCAAAAACGTGATTGCTCCTGGATAGCGTGCTGAAATATTAGTATTTACTGTAATTAGGATATTACGTATATTATATTCTTGCTGGAACTAGTAATGAAATTGTTTGCAGAAAAAGGATGCATTCAATTAGTGCTCTAATTGTAATATAGATATTAGTGTTTTCTCTTTCAAGCATCTCAACGCTACGGTGGCTCCATCTGATGAACGATCGTGGTAAACTTGGTCGTTCAATGTGAATGAGGACAGTTTTTTCTAAGTTTATTAAACAATAACGGAACTTAATAATATTATTGGTATTCTTTTTACTGTTTCAGAAACATTAGTTTCGAATGATAAGATAAATGGTAATTATACGGAGACGATTGTACATAACCCTAAATATTCCATTGAGCGCAGCTTTGATTGTTTAAGTTCAAGATTCTGATTTATAGATTTAAATGTCAGGTTATGTTTATTTGTAAATAAAATAATAAAAACTGCAGCATGAAATACCAAGTTTCATAAAATTCTGCCTTTTTGATGAATGGTATGTACTACATTTAGTAACCTATATTATCGACTGTAGTGTAGTTCGATTGCTTTAAAACGCGACGCTATTGTAGTAACACGACATTATCGAATGTCAATACGAAAACGTGTGCAAAATTTGTTATTTAAACAATTTACTGCTACACTGTATACAATAGCGTACCTTTTAATTGGAAAAATAAGTTTAATAGTGTAGTACACATACATTTTTTCCTAGACCACAAGTGTAGAATATTTCAAAAGTGCCGCCATTTTTCAATTTTATAACCCCCAATAATCATTGGATATTCAACAACAGTTAACAGTGTCATGTTACATTTGCAAATGCTAATAATATGCAGAGTGCTTATGAATTATTTACGTTATCTTATACGCAATAATTCATTTATGATATCGTTTGAACAACGCATGTAAATTAAAGTTCAATTAATACTTACCACCGTCACCAGGCACGACCGCTTAATTTCTAATGCATTGAGTTACGACGAATATTTTCCAGGATTCTTGATTCTCTTTCCGTACTTCTATCACTCAGAACCATTTGCTTCTTAAACATCCATTATTATATTGTTCAAAAATACATTAATTCACAGATTCACTGCACTCGAAGAACTTGCGTTTCCCACCTCGCATACATACGCGCACGTAATGAACAGTACTATTTCTTTCGCTTCCCCTTTTTGGCGCCAATTAGCGTAACTACGATTTCCAGCAATAAAACTACTTAAATTACATAAAGAACATCAGAGAATATGAATAAGATACTTAGAAATTTGAAAGAAGTCATATAGACCAATTAGAATCCTCACTCTAAGGATTTTCTTCATATTTTATCAAGAAGAAAACGCGAGGCGATTCGAAATCTAGGTACGGCAGTGGTCCAAGGGACGCGCATGCGCGTTGTCGCGCTCGCCGCCACTACAATGTCGGACGTCGAGCGTTCGGTGGTGAGAAGGTCTCTTGCGTTTCCCGTGATTTCCTAAGTGAAATCCCGCGCGCGTGTCGTTTTTAATCGTGTCCAGTGGTGTAATATGATCGTGTAACTCACCGTCTGCGACGACACGTGATCAGGAAGCATCGTATCTCGGGTACAGACGGTAAAGATGGGTGAGTAAGAAAGTGGAAACCAAGTGGCGAATGCCGGCTAAAGCTTTTTCTCTCTCTTTCTATTCGCGGCTTCGTTGTTCCCCCCTGTGGGCGAGAGCATGTGTGCGCGCGTGGATCCCGTGTGTACGCTTATCGTTCTCGCCGACGAAAATAAAAAAGCGTTGTGTGTGCGGGGTACGCCCCTGTTGTGTGTGTGCCTCCTCGTTCGCGGTTTCCGCCCGATTTTCACGGGTGTTCCCCCCGTTCCCTCGTGACGAGCACGCCGAATGTTTTCCGCGAAGATCGTACCCCCGCTAAACTCGCTCGGGGCCTCTATAAATAGACGGATCCATCGGTTTGACGTTTCCTAGGGTGAGCCGGACACGTCTATATACCTCTGCGCACCGGCTGTTTTTCCTTTTCATTTTGTTTTCGCGCTATTCGAGAGAGAGTGACCTGCATTCTCGAGCGGTGCCCGCTAGCCTGGGTCGCATTCGATCCTGCTCGTCTAGGGCCGCCACCTTTACCGACTCCCAAAATCCGCCGACCGCCGACCCTTTATTCACCTCTCCTTTCCCACCGTGACACCTTTCGTCCTATGCGCATCGATTCCTACGTAAAAGAAAAACGGGACCGAGTGCACACGCGTCGCATCTTCGGGTTTTCAACGTGTGTCACACTGTTGCGTAACCATGCGTGTTTGGAATGCAAACGAAGATTCTACCTTTTCAGAGACGACGGTCTAACGTCAGACATGTTGGGTCGTTCGGATGGTTTCTCGATTTTTTGAAGGTACAACCTTTCTGGCCTGTGGTTCTTAATACGCAATCTCGGTTTTATTTTCACATTTTTTGTGCAATTTTTACATGTTTTCAATTAGTTTCAATTAGTTTCAATTAACTAATTGGAAGTTAGTTTGTAGGTCATCGTTTTGGTCAGGTTGTAACAGCCCGATTTTACTGTATATACCTCGCAGTTTAAGCTAACTTGAATCGTTCTTTGCGTATAGACTTACTATCTTCGTTTGTTTTGCTCTAATAAAAAAAAGAAAAAGGTCGATGAGTAATTTACACAGTGGATACATTTGAAATATACATTCGAAGACGGTGTACGTTTACCAGATCAATCGATTCTTTGCTACTCAAATAAAAAGGTAATAAAGACACCTGGAACGCTGCAAACTTTCCGAACGACCCAATATAACCGCGTATACAGTTGCTCATAAAAGTATCCCACTCTGACAGAATTGATAAACTTTACCGAAATATCTTACAGTGTTTTATGACCTGCTTACAATAGTCCGCTGTAGAACATTCATAAAACCTAATAAACAATTTTTATCACTAGAACACGTACAATCGTACAGATTGACTTTTTCAAATCAAATCATACGTCAACCAGTATTCTTAAAATCGACATGAAATATTGACAAGGGCGGAAAGGTTCTGTTCGGTAGCCCCTATGTTCGTATGTGTGTGTGCACTAGCAGTTTCAGGGCTGTATCTGAGGACGCCACGCTCGTAAATTTGCTCCTCGCAATTATGCGTTCTACCCACGCAACCACCGTGCCTTGCACGATGCATCGTGTGTGCGCTTCAATACGCATGCAGCGTCGAGAGAAGCGGCTGCAACGTAGCGCATGCAGCCCCAGCGTTTCTGCATCCTGCGAGACGAAAGTTTATCCTACCGACTCAAGTAGTATTTTCTTCAATCGATGATATTATGCACAATTTCCACCTTTATCATGCTCACAAAGCCGAATAACAGTGTATTTCTGTGTATCGATTGTATCTACCGGAGATGCTTGATCCATCGGTAAGCATGATTAATATCAATTCAGTAAAAGTGCACACGAATACAACAAGCTTAATGAACCGAAGTACCAGACGCGGTGCCGTGTATGCGTCTGTTGGCTTTGGATATTGACTTCGCTCGAGTGTAATCGCCGTGTTATCTGTATCGCAGGAAATTGCGGTTGATATTTATACACTCGAATTTCGCGACATCGTGTATGCTACGTGTGTAACGATATCTAGATTGCTCATTTATATTATACATACACGGACGCTCGTAGTGGAAACCGTATGTTGTAAGGAATTACGGCTCGATCTAATTATAAAATTAGATTTCTATTAAAAAGTAATAAATATGCTAATACCGTTATAGTTATAAATGGCTTATGTAGATAACATTAGAGATCAAAACATGATTTTTATTACAAAAAATAATGTTTAACCCTCGTGTGATGAGGAGGGATTTTAGGGCCTCAAGAAACTTGTGGAAATACTTGCATGAGATCACAAACAAATCAACTGTATTATCACATTTTTCACGGGCGAAATAAATTTCCATGCAGTTTGTGTTTCAGTGAATCAATTTACAAAACGATTAGTCCAAGTATGATTGTGTATCGTTCACAGCCGAATCGATTTTAATTCAGAACTATGTACTAACGCAGAGACAAGCGTTGGGAGTGTAGCCGTGTCATTTCTCTGGAATCGTGGTGTATTATTTCGCGACGAGGGTGCATTTCGACTATCGTTCTAAATAATGCAACGATCGACGAATGGTATTGATTTTCTTTTCGCGTCCCTTGTACATTGACATACATTTGGCACAAGGGTCTCACCCTCTCCGAGTTGTCGTTTACTCCGTTGCCGCTTTTCAGTGAAACTGCAACCGCTGCAGATCGATACCCACCCTCTCCACTCTCGTTGCATTCGATTCACACTGCGCCGCTAGCCGGAAGGGAAAATCTCGTGCAGCAAAATGCACCGGAACTTGTCGCAGTCGTTCTGACGCTCGTTAACGAGAAGACGAACCTTGACTGCGAATCTTACATCGATTATTACACGTGCACCTTGATAATGGTACAATGAAACACCAGATAAATCTTTATTTCAAAGTTAATACTCACGAAAACGAGGACATTTATTCTATTTTTATTTCGTTACGAGGAATCATTTACTATTTATGATATCGATTGTGTAACTTATGTACGAGGAATACTCGATTGTCAGTTAATAAATTGTGTCTAAACTTATAATACAATATTTAACATTCACGCACAAGTGTCAAAGAAAAGAATCGAGGAATCTAAAGGATCCTCCCTGTTTAAGGACAAAGGACCACGGGGCTCGAATCCCCGGTGTCCTTTCTCCTGATTATCCGCGAATCAATATTTCGCCTACCTACCGTATTCGGGTTACCAGTTGGTGGAGATCCTGCAAGGAAGTCTCCATAGTGGATGTAACGTAACTCTCTGGTTATGTAACCAGCGAAATACGGGGAAATGGTGTTTATTATCTAATAAGCAGATACAGTTACATCTGAATATTAATTAGGCTCTATTCTTGCAACAGAAGAATTCTAAAATTCTTCCTAACAACAACGTGAACTTTGAAATCGTACCTGAAATTTCCAAGTGGATTTGTTAATAGATCACAAAAGCAAAGAATTTTCAGGGGCAAAACTGGAAGATCAAAGGGTGCACCAATTCAGAAGAGCTCCCAACTTGGTGTCCAATTAACTTTCATCAATGTTCGTAGCCTCGGAATAGACGTACGAACTCAGAAAGAAGACTGCACGAAGTTTCACCGTCCTCTTGCATCCTACAAACGTCTCCAGAGGTAACAACGTTCTTATCTGCTGGCTACAAGTTTAAAGTGACAAAATGGTAGCGCGGTGGGGATTGCGGTCATCGTACCGCCTCAAGACCTAAACGGATCGACGTCTTGTGCAATCATCGTCAGAGAGGGAACCACGAAACCCTTCAATCGAGTACCGGGATTTTTTCGTAGTTCGCAGATAACCAATCTGCTAATTACGAGTCGAAGTTGGGATAGGCGGCGGTGGCTTTTCGATAACGAGCACGGAACAAGAAACTCGCCTTAAAGAATCGAAAAGTACGTGACTCATTGTCAGTCACGCATGTACGTACATATTGACACTCGTCTTATTTTTCTATCCAGTTTCGCGTTTCTCCGATTCCGACGCCACGATACCGGGCGTCACGCATTCCTGATCGAGCGCCGATCGATCACGGCCGAATGAATCTCGGCTTTTTCTCGTTGAAATTCTCGTTCGAAAGTCCAACAACCGGGTGGATATTTCATCGGATCGACGGTTGTACGTGAAAACAGGGGAAAACAGATTATTCCGGTTCGAATACTCTAGAAATACATTCTACGATAAAGAAAACTACGGCTTGGCCTTAGAAGACGCATTGTATGAGACACATCGCAGGCTGTTACCAATCAGCATGCAGGTATATTTAGTTGCACGATATCCCCCCCCCCCCAGGCTATTTTCGAACGGCAGTCGATCTTGCATCGCGTTCATACGATCCTTTCCTCTTCCCTTTCTTGCCTTTAAATATCCCGCGATAATGCACCGTATACACACGACTAATTATCTCTCTAGCAGCCGTGTCGCTAAATGCGATCCTATCGGAAACAAAGCAGGGTAATTTTGTGAGATAACTCGAACACGAAAACACTCTTCTCGAGTGTCTTCGCAGCAGTTGTAGCCACTGATATAAGTAACTGCAGGAACGGTTAAGTTGCTCTTCGCAACTCGCGATACTTCGTTATCATTCGATTAATGCAGAGTGGGAAGAGGGTAGTCATTCTGTGTAGAGTTACCATTCACGGATTCTTGGTACTGTTCACAACACGCCTGTCACGTCCGCCGGCAATTTAAATTCCACGGAGATCAAGGTGGTATCGTCGGGTCGAGGACCAACACGGAAGAGGCAGTTGCATAAATTTCTGTTTACCCTCGGTTGTGTACCCGTGGTTTCCGACTCTAAGTACGCAGAAATCAGGCGACCACGGCGAACTTCCGAACCGTTAGCTCGTTAACGTCAAATGAATTCCGGGGCTAATACCGAAAGTTCGACTTTGGCCTGGTAGTTGCACGGTGCTGTTGCGTAAGAACGGTAGCAAGCCACAGGGGAACAACCGTTTCCTCGATCGGAATTGCGTCCACCACTTGCGCGTTTCCCCGCGACAATGGGGAGG